TCCATGTATTTTTATAAAGAAAATGGCATCAGAATTTGTTATACTTGCTGTTTATATTGATGAAATAAATCTTGTTGGAACTCCAGAAGAGCTCCAAAAGGCAATTGAATTTCTTAAGAAAGAATTTGAGATGAAAGATCTTGGAAAGACAAAACTTTGTCTTGGTCTGCAAATTCAATATTTAGCAGACGGGATCTTTATCCATCAATTTGCCAATACAGAAAGGGTCTTAAAACGCTTTTACATGGACAAAGCGCACCCATTGAGTACACCAATGGTTGTTCGATCACTTGAAGTGAATAAGGATTTGTTCCGACCTCCAGAAGAGGATGAGGAACTCCTTGGTCCCGAAGTACCCTATCTCAGTGCAATTGGTGCACTAATGTATCTTGCTAATGCTACAAGGCCTGACATAGCATTCTCTGTTAATTTACTAGCAAGATATAGTTCTTCTCCTACACGGAGACATTGGAACGGGATTAAGCATATATTGCGATATTTAAAGGGAACTCTTGATATGGGTTTGTTTTATGCTAACAAAGATAGTGCAGACCTTGTTGATTATGCAGATGCGGGTTATTTATCTGATCCCCATAAAGTATGATCTCAAACCGGCTACGTATTTACATATGGAGATACTATCATATCATTGCGCTCCACAAAGCAATCTATTGTTGTTACTTCTTCAAATCACGCTGAGATAATAGCTATTCATGAAGCAAGTAGGGAATGCGTATGGTTGAGATCAATAATTCATTTTATTCGAGAAAAATGTAGTTTGAAATGTGAGAAAAGACCCACAATTTTATACGAAGACAATGATGCATGCATAGCCCAATTAAAGGGAGGATTTATAAAAGGAGATAGAACGAAGTACATTTCACCAAAATTATTCTACATACACGATCTTCAGAAAAGTGGTGACATTGATGTGCAACAAATCCGTTCAAGTGATAATCCAGCAGATTTATTCACTAGATCTTTGTCAACTTCAACTTTTGAGAAGATAGTATACAAGATTGGAATGCGGAGACTCAAATATTTGAAACAAGGTTTTCATCAGGGGGAGTAAAATACGCGATGCACTCTTTTTCCCTTACTAAGGTTTTTTCCCATGGGGTTTTCCTTAAAGGTTTTTAATGAGGCACCTAGCAATGCGTTTTACTAAATATGTGTACTCTTTTTCCTTCACTAGTATTTTTTCCCACGTGGTTTTTCCTAGTGAGGTTTTAATGAGACACATTATCTTTTAATGAACATCCAAGGGGGAGTGTTATAAATATATTATATTATGGGTGTTCATTTAGTACTTCGTTGTAAATAATCTTCCTGAAGAAGATTATCCATATGGGACTCCACCGTAAATATGTTTATCTATTTAGTACTCTATTGGAAATAAGCTTCCTGAAGAAGCTTATCACTTCGGTACCCGGTTATGGATAAATATTACCCCAGGTAGAAGATTATCCATACCGGGTATAATAAGCTTATCCTTTCAGTACCCAGTTATGGATAAACATTACCCCCGGTAGAAGATTATCCATATCGGGTATAATAAGCTTATCCTTTCAGTACTCCGTTATGGATAAACATTGCTCTCAGTAGAAGATTATCCATATCTGGTATAGTAGCAGCTTACACAGCAGTTTGCAGTAGCAGCTTACACAACAACTTGTAATAGCAGCTTACACAACAGTTTGTAGTAGCAGCTTACACAACAGCTTGTAGTAGCAGCTTACACAGTAGCTTGTAGTAACAACTTACACAGTAGCTTGTAGTAACAACTTACACAGTAGCTTCCTTTCTTCTATAAATAGAAGAGATTTTAGTTCATTATGTACGTCAGTTTGAATTCGAATAATATATCAGTTTCTCTCTATACTTGTCTTTACTTTACAGTCTTTATTTTATAACAGTTTCGTTTTATTAGAGTGTTAAGTGTTTATTTTTGAGAAATATATGAATGAATATCCATAATCCATAAGTATAATAAAAATCGCACACTTAAGGATTTATGTGAAGGGAGTGGAGTACATGCATCCATGCTCCCCTTCCTAGGCTATATGTACTAATTTTTTTAAGGCAAAATACCTTATCACCCCCTAATGCTTCGAATGTTTTACACGTGAGCTTCTGATATAATATGTTGAAATTTTAAAATATACTGGAATTCCATCATAATATGCTGGAAGTTTATACGCAATAGCTCCATAATCCCGCATATTATGCTAAAACTTTCCATCGTGGAGTTTCAATATAATATACTGGAAGTTTATACGCAAAAGCTTTATAATCCTACATATTATGCTGAACTTTTCGTGTTTCAACTAAACAGTAGCTATTTTTCGATTACTTGTCCGAAAAATGGCTAGCATGTGCTATTACTAGTCCGAAAAATAGCTAGCATGTGCTATTTTGACTAATAACAAGAAACTTCCAGTATCTGGACAAAATCCATGAGCAAACCATTCTTTCTTCCGCTAAAAGTGTAAATCTCAAAATTGCAAATCTGTGCCAACTAATCTGCTATGGCCTATACAGCTTTAAAATTAGGCCACTAAGAAAAAAGGTAAGAAAAAAATAGAAAAAGAAGTTGGATGCCACGTGATTTCTGCTCACTGTCTGTATTTTGATAGACAAAGTTATTCAATACCTTTATTGATGAAAGATATCAAATACAAAAGCGGATATAACCTAAAGGCTATGGGTTCATCTGAACCGGTAACTTTTGATATGGAGTATAAATATATATATAAAAACCTACTAAAATTATAACATTGAGATGTTTATGCAAAGCTTCTTTTCTACCCTGTGTAGGTAACACAAGCTACGGAGCTGCAGACTTAAGACCTAAGGATATTTTTTTAACATGTGATTGGGTCTTAGAATTCTCAAGAAAGTGGAAGCACCCGTATACAATTTCGATTTTGCTTTCTATATATAGATATGAATGTTAGATCTGAACTTATAATTTTAATAGTATAATAAGTTCAATGCAAGTCCGAACCCGTTAAGTTAAAATTCTGAATCCACCTCTGAGCAGACATGGTAAAATAGTGGAGATACCAAAAAACTGATCCAAACGTCACTTTCTTAAAAATAAGAACATCATGGAAACACTATAAAGTGGATGGCCTAATGTAACACCTCAGACTTTAGATAGAGTTCTACATCGGCAAAACACAAAGTCGGATGTTGATATATAAGTTAACAGGTCTTAGATCCTAGTGATGCGTTTTAAACCCCGTGAGAACTTAAATCCAGAGCGAATAATATCACTAGCGGGTTGAGCGGTTACACCTATGTTGTTTGAGTTATTCCAAGAAACCAGTTTTGGTTAAGATGGCATTCCTCAATTTGCTAAGATCTCTTCCCTTAAGTGTCCTCCCAACACCTTCACACATAGAAAAAGGAGCAATTTGACTTCTTGCAACTCTTCTAGCTATATATTCATGTGGTGGTACCATTCCATCACCAAAATCATAATCACAATCTTCATCTTCTGCAACAATATTTTCAACACTTTCATCACTATCCCAAGAACCATTTTTCAAGAATCTACTTGATTTTTTCTTGTTATAAATCTTGGACCAATCAGGAATATTAACTGGAGCTGATGATTGCTGGTGCATTGGTGTACTTTTAGTTCTTGGAATCACTTTTGGAGCAGTGGCTAATTTCCTCTTCACTACTGAACTTGAGAAACCTTTTCTTTCCTTCACATTAATATCCCATATATCTTCTTCTTGAAAATCTTCCATTGATTTTTCCTTTGTTTTGTATTGCTCTGTAGCCACATAAAACCCTGTCATGAGTTAAACTTACCAAATTTCAAGAATGTATATGAAAAAGGTTACAACAACAACAATAATAACCAACTCAATATAAATTTACAGGGTTCACGGATATTAGTGTGTACGCAGACGTTATTACTATTTTGTGAAGGTAGAGAAATGTCAAAGAATAGTGAAAAGAAAGAAACAACAAGGTAGTAACAATATAGGAAAAAGGTTAGATTTTGTTTAATGACTTTAAAATCTATTAGCATTGAGATATAAAAATATCTATACAATCAGATTATTCCTAAGCTAATAATGACAAATCACTATAATATGCTTTAATATGATAATATAATTAAAGTTGAATGAGTTTAAGTTTTATTCGATAACATGAAATTATTTATACAATCAATTTATTTATAGGATAATCATAGATAAATTACTATAATACACATTGATAATCTGATTAAAAATAACTAATCTGCTATAATATGTTGAATTATACTGACACTATAAAAGTATCTATACAATTAAGTTATTTATAGGATAATTTATAGGATATTTATAGGATAATAAAGTGCTATAATACGCATTGATACCCTACCCGAGAAACGAGAGAAGTTGTTTTCGATAAACCATGGTTCAAGAAAAATAAAAAGAAACAGCAGAAATAAGTAATATCAACAAATAGGACTAGAAAAAAAGTAACAACAATCTCAAAATACGCATTGATAATCTAAAAAAAGATAACTAACCTGCTATAATATGCTGAATTATACTGATACTATAAAAAATCTTTATCCAGTCAGGTATATAGCTTTGATCCTTTTGTAATACCAAGAAGCAGCTAACAAGCCTTGCAAATATTTATAGATAAAATCCTATTTCTTTTTCTGATGAAAAGCTGGTTTTCTGGTAGCAAGAAACTTCCTTCCTTTTGGCCAAAGAAAAAAAAAGAAAAGGGAAACTTTTTTTCTAAGTTTTCTTAAAAGATGGCAGAAAGAAATGTGTGAAATCCCAGAAATTAATTTACTGTGATTTTTGCAAAAATCCAAAGAAAGATCACAGATTTCCAAGTGCTTTATACTACAAACAGACTATAGTACCAGAAGGAAAAAGGCAAATATAGAGATGAATAAATAGCATTAAAACTGGAAACTGAAGCAGAAAAAGGCTAAAAGAAAATGATGTTTTTTATGAAATTTCAATTCCCACTATAAAATGGTTTATAACTGAAAGGAACATGGGGAATATTTGGGTACATAAAAGTCCATAAGCGCCCACAGATAAAAAAGTAGTAAAAAGAGTGAAAATTAAGGGCCCATGGGAAAGCCCACACAAGCCAAATTGTCACAAGACAGATAATTTTGCTCCACTATGTCCAGAAGCCGGAGCCAAAATTTCAAGAGTTCAAAATTTTAATTGCCTTAAGTTACCGGATTTTAAATTAATATTTTATATATATTCAATAAAAAATTTAAGACAAAATCAGGGTTCGACCGAACCCTCTCTCCGCACTATAGTTCTGCCACTAACTACATCAATGACAAACTTTATGATATACAATACATAAGGAAGCTCAGTGCATATGATATCGCGCGTTCACGTAGGCACAATGGAAAGGTCGTATCCCAAGAAAATATGATATAGACATCAAACCCTAATGTAAGCGTTAGTGACTGCTTTCACGGCCCGTAAAAATTTATTTGGCTAGTATCAATTAGCTAGTTGAGATTAAAATTTAGTCATGGTAGTGTGTGGAATGCAGGACCAACGTTTATGGGAATTTTTCTTAATGTAGTACATTATTAGACGGTTGAGATAAAATCGATTGACATTGACAATAAAAATTCGTAACTAATTTTAATTTGCTTGGGATCGAGACATAATTATTGTTGAACATGTAAATGTATGCGGTGGACAAATGGTTTCAGATACACAATAGCTTGTGTGGATAGTCGTTACCTATTGTATCGTATCGTATTGTTACTTTAAATACAATGTTTGTTTTGGTTGTTACTTAAATTTTATTGTATCGTATCGTTAAATCCGTCGTTACGTAACGACGAAATGTGCCACTTTATGTAACGACCGATTTGGTATGGTTGCATCGTTATCTTGTCTTTTTCTCTCATCCCACCCTTCACTATTATTAAATTATTTTATTTTATCATTTACCCTGCCTTTTTATATAATAAATTTACCCGGTATCATAATTTATCTTTATAATTACAAATTTATTCTTCATATTGCTAGTGCATGATATCATGAAACAACAACAAACGATACAATCTATCCAAATATTGTATTCATCAAACGATACAGTACAGTACAATACAATACGATACGATACATTATGAAACGATACGTAACAACCATCCAAACAAACGCTAAATTAATATTCCTAATTGAATTCTTGAAAAGCTGATGGTATTTTTTGATTGGGAAAAATGGAGAGAAACAATTGGTTTAGGCAACTTTCACTGATTTCTTTATATCCTTATCCAAACTCAGGAGACAACTAAAGTTTGCATCAAAACCAGCGGAAATGGCCAGTGACAATTGAAAAATAAAACTAAGGTTGGAATATGCAATGCACCTAGTTGGTTGTTTACCATCAGGTATTCAGAGCATCTATAATGGGGCCTCAGGAGCATGTGTTAGAGGTTTCTGGTCATTCAGCGACAGAGTTAGAAATTTTCTCAAGAGTGTTCAAACTTTAAAAAAAAGCAAAAAAAAAAAAATCTCCGACAAATAGCGTTCAAAATATGTTATATACCTCTAAAATTTAATATTTAACTTATATACGCAATGTAATTTTCCAACGAAGGGTGGTCAGACATACCACTTCGCCCCTGTGGTCATTAACAGGAACAAATGAAAAGGAGCGTACCACCCTCCGCACTCGATCGACAAATTAAAACCAAAGCAGCCAGTTTCTTTTGAATGAATCACCAACAAAACTGTTCTTCAGATTCTAACATCGAGACCATTTCTGAAGTTATCCGTCTAATTCTAAATCAATCGTTCATATATATATATATACACACACGGGAGATGAAATAGTCTTAAATCCCCAAAATTTCCATATTCAAAAACATATACAAGTAGATTTATGATAATACACTATGTACTTTTACTTTAATATTTAGTTGGATGAAAATATTGAATGTGGATAAATTTTTACTGTTATCTCTTTTTTTAAAGAAAAAAAGTACTACTTGAGGGGTACTTATATATTCTCCTGAAAGTTAAAATGTGGGTCTCGCATTTTACATCTATAGTCTATTTTAAAATCATTTCATAGTTTTTTCAGAAATTACTTTTATTTTTAGGGCCTACTTCTCTGACTAAAATGTAGTAATTAGATATGCATACAATGTATTTCCACTTTTAGCCAATAATGTCAAAGGAAAAGGACAAGGTGGTTTTACATAGCATGAAATGGAGTATTGTCAAACAATTGATGTACACTCAAAATCCTATTTTATGTCCCATCACGTGGTGAATATTTGATTAATACAAATTAGTATATTATATAAATTGTAATGCAAACAAACAATAAAAATTGGATAGTTAAATAAATTTAAATTCTAAGAATTTGTGAAAATTAAATAATACAATATTATTATCAGAATGCTGCTAAATAATATATGTTGGGCATCTTAAGATGAAAAATGTTATAACTTATAACCACTAGGAAGAATGTAGTATTCAAAGGCAAAAATAGATTTACCGTCAAAGATTGTGGTCGGGTTGGTAAGTGATTTTTCATTCTTAACAATAAATTTTAGGTTCGAGCCTTGAAAATAGAGTCGCTTTTGGTAGGAAGATTTCAACCCCTGGAGTAAAATTAATTCTCCGACGCGAATTTGAAGTAATCAAACTCTAAAACGGGTGAAAAACAAAAAAATATAAAATTAACTTCAACGTACTTGCCTCTTTTATAAAAAAAAGAAGTATACCATTTTGCAAACTACAAAAGTAAATGTGTATCAATTCTATAACATCGAAGGCATGGTTGATCTCAATTTTAAACGGAGGACAAAAGTAGACTATTTCAAAAACTACAAAGGCACTTTTAGACTTTTTTTCTTATCATTTTATATTGTATGGTTTGTTTCGGTTGTGTTATTATCATGATGTTGTTACTGCTTCTTTTTACATGGCTTCTCTTTTGTGTATTTCTTTTTAATTATGTTGTGATTATGTTTTTTTTTTGAGCCGATGGTCTTTTAAAAATACCCTTTTTGACTTTATAAAAATTGCGTACATATTACCCTCTCCGAACCTTATTTGTGAGATTTTATTGGGATTGTTGTGGTGTGACATATAATAGTTGTTGTTATCCAATAGTCTATGACAACATTCAATAAACCAATGAATGCAATACAATATGCCATCTTGGATGGAAAAAGAATCCCACATACTCCTTCCGTTTCAGTTTATGTGAACTCATTTGATTGGGTACGAAGTTTACGAAGAGAGAAAAGACTTTTAAACTTGTGGTGTAAAATAAAGTACATATATTTTGTATGACTATAAATAATTGCATAAATGTAAATGTTTTCAAATAGGAAAAGAGATCATTCTTTTTTACACAACTAAAAAAGAAATAAGTTCATAAATTGAAATAGAGGAAGTACTATAACTGCTGAATTGATTGATTGATTGAGTGAACGTGAGACAGAAGTTTTATTTTGTGTCTCATACAATTTACACTAGTTGTATGAGACTCCTTTTTGTCTCACAAATTTGTGTACTCCAATCTTACACTTCTGGGTCTACAAAACTGTGAGACAAAAAAATCTCATACAACTAGTATCAATTGTACGAGACACAAAATAAAATTTTCTCAATTTGAGAGATTTCATCTTTATGTACTTTTTCTTCATCTTTTAGCCTTGTCAAGATAAGTAGGGACTTAAGCAAATGGCCATTGTCTTCATTGAAAATGTTCCCCAAATCCCATCAACTCGCACTCACACAACAATCTTTCTTTTCCCCTTCCATTATGTAAAGGTGCACAGCTTATTTAGAATACCTATTTCACAAGTGGCCACTCAAGGACAACCACATATAGATGTAACCAAATATTCTCTCTGCAAATATTTGACTGGACATAAAATTTAAGAAAAAATAAAGACTTTTGAACTTTAAAATCCTTCATCTCGTCCTAATTGGAAAGATGAGTCAACTAACTCCTTCATAAATAAAGGCGGGTTTAAGTTCTATATAATGATAGGATATAAACGTACTTGCTATTATAAAAACTATTTATATTATTCATATATATAACTTAAAAGAACGCTTTTTTATTTTTAAATGCTTGTGTCAGCAGCAATGTGGAATACAACAATAAATTCAGTGCAATCCCACAAGTGGAGTCGGGGAAGGGTAGAATATACGGAGACCTTACCCCTATCTTCAAGATGGCAGAAAGGTTGTTTCCGAAAGACCTTCGGCGTAGGAAAAATAAAAAAAGGGCAGCAGCAAGCAAGCACACCAATTAGAAACCGAAGCAAAAAAAAACAAAGATACAAAACTAAAACTAAATATTATAATCAGAAGGCCGGAACGAAAGCAACGACAAACAATGTGGAATACATTGATTTATTATGTATAGAAGTAAGTAATTACTAGAGCCGGAGCCAGAATTTCAAGTTTAAGAGTTCGGGATTTTAAACATTTTAAGTTATTCGGTTCTAAATTAATATATTATACATATTTAACGAATTTTTAAAATAAATAAAGAATTCAAAAAACTACTGGATTTGACCTAACCCGCTCTCCGCACTCGAACTCTGCCCTTGTAATCAGTATGATGATGAAATTCATTGCTCAGTTGGAGACCAAAAATTCAACTTATCAAATGAAAAGAGGCATATAAAGCAAAGGTAGCGGCCACTGAAAATCACCTCGGTTGGGAGGAGCCGTCAAAATTAATAATGATTATTCCTTGATTATAACACTTGATTAATTGCGTGGTTTAATTCATAACATAACAAGAAAACTAGGAATTTCATGAGACAAGTGCACAAAAGATATGCTTTATGTGCTCAAGGTTCTAAAAAAAATATAAATAAAAAGTTGCTAATAACCAGGGCAGATCTAGAGTGTCAATTATAGGGTCAAGTGAACCCAATAATTTTTGTCCAAATTCTGTATATGTATT